AAAAAATTTTTCCCCACGAGGTTATTTTGTTTGTTGAATAAACGACTCGGTAGAATCTAGACGTTAAATTTGAATCATTTTAGAATCTGCTAAAAACCAAATTATTACGTCCCGATGCCTAAAATCAAAGAATTAGCCAGCATTAGTGTGTGTTTGTTTACAATTAAAGAAAAATAAACACAGAGGAGCCAGCTGGGTTGTGGAGTCGATCCAAAAGGAGGAAGGGAGACAGGAAGAAGATGAAGCTGCCTGCTCTTTTCAGAAGTCACTGCTGCTCTGCGCCGTGGGACCGAGGCGGACTCCAACCTGAGATTGAGGGCACTTGTCTGCTGAAATTGGGGCCAGCAGATGGCATTTCATTTGAAAATGCACTCAAAGCTGCTTGGAGCTGACGAGAGCTGTGGAGGGATGTGGTGACGGGCGGATACGCAAACCGGATCGGTCACATCAGGAGCAGAAAACTAAAGGCCAATTAGGATCAGCGGAGAGCYAAGCTCCGAGGCCTCCAGAACAATGAGACGCCTCGACCTTTAGAAAACACACATCTCCACGGAGGGCTGAAGAAACGCTGTTTTCTTTTCCTCGCACTTTAAATTATTAGCTCCAGGAAAAATAGAATAGTTTGAAACAAACAGAGTATGTTACAAAGTTTTAGCCAAGCCTCCAAAATGAGAAATCTTATGATCAGACGTGATGCTCACAGACCTTCGGCTATCATCTCTAACTTTAGCTCATTTATTGTAAAACTGAACTCTAAACATGTTTGTGTTGCTAAGGTCAGTAAGCTGTGGCAGCCATTTTGAAAGTGGTTGGCTCCAAGGCTGTGTCCAATTTCAGGGTCTTCATCTTCTGAAGGTCAAATTTGTCGGCCGCTTACGTCACACCGGAGGCTGTCCAAATTCAAAGACTCCTCCGATGCAACCAACAAATGCATCCTCCTTTCCCCCCAATTTCAGGGACAGGTACAATGGATCCTTCTTGAACCATATTCCATAATGCATGGTCRGGTTTCAGTGAGCTCAGGATTCTGTCTGTTTTATGTAGACGATGTGGTCGTGAGGTTTGAAGTGACCACGATGGTCAGATCCTCCAAATCTGAGGCTGTGCCCAGCTGAGAGGAGACCCAGGACACGATAAGAGTCTCAGCTGGTCCTCCCAGAYGAGCTGGAAGAAGAAAGAGAGTTCTGGACCTCCCTGATTAAACCAAGACCTGACTCTGGAACAAAACGATGAACAGTCGACTACAAATAGTGATTTATTTCGCTGGAACACCGAATGTTAGCTAAAAGTTAGCAAAGTCATCCATCAAATAAATTTTATCAGTTGAAAAGATTGAAGTTCTGAGTTGGTTGATTATAATATTTTACAGGTTATGCATAAGGCTCACAAATGTATATTACCATTAAACAACCAATTAAATTTTGTTAAGAGAGACAGGTGTTATGATCTGAAGGGTGTAAAGCTGTTTGTGAAACCTGGATTTCGAACTAGTTTGAGGGAGCGGTGTACTTCGATATAAGGAATAAGATTATGGAACAATCTGGAGAGTGATGCCAAAAATGCCAGATSAATGTTTATGTTTAAGAGAATGATAAAAYTCACAAAGGCCCAGGAGCTTTATCACCATTGATACTTTGCATGGCCTGTGAAATTTCTTCAATCGTTAAATTTGTATCCAATTCCTTTCTTGTCTCTTCTGTGAGTTTCTGAAACTGAAGTTGGTCTAAGAATATATRTTGTTCTWCRGAGGCGTGGCAGCYCTGTGATTTATATAGTMTCAAATAGAATTGCCTAAAGCTATCGTTAATCTCAGATGGATCTACTGTTACCCTGCCAGAGGGGTCTTTATACTATTAATTGCTCTTTCACTTTGTATTTTCTTAATTCTCCACGCCAATAGTTTCCCAGCTCTCTCTCCTTGGTCATAATAAGATTTTTTTTAACCACAATTAAACTTTTTGCTGCTGCCTCATAAGATAATTTATTAAATTCAGTTCTCAAATGTAACAATTCACTCTGCTTTATTTGGTCGTCGTCGGCATTTAAGTCTAATTCCAAAAATTTGATTTGTTTGTCCAAAATTTCCATTTGTTTCTTTTGTTGTTTGTTTTTTGTACTTGTATAGCTAAGAATTTCACCTCAGATATATGCTTTGAATCCTTCCCATCTCACTGAGGCGCAAGTCTGATCCGTATTTAATTCAAAATAAGTATCTATCTTCTCCCCTATCAATTTGACAAAGTTTTGATCCTGTAGCCATTTTGCTTGAAACCGCCAACGGGGTGGATTATGCACAACATTTTCATTGTAAATATTCAGTGAGAWAGCTGCATGATCACTGATCACTATACTGTCATACTGACATTGTTTGACCCTTGATAAAAGCTCTCTTGAAACAAGAAAATAATCTACACGTGAGRGGGATTTATGCATACTCGAGTGACAAGAGAATTCTATTTTATCAGGATTTTGTTCTCTCCACACTTCCAGCAAGTTGATATCCAATATATATTGATTTATTA